AGTTGGAACAAAGTACAAATATATACAGTACTTACATATATTTCAGTACTATTCCATGAGAAACCCAGAGGGTGGAGTGGACAGAGCAATGCACTAAGACTCTGGAGAACAAGGTCCGAATCCCCACTCAGCCATGCAAACTGATGGGGGGGTGGAACTGGTAAACCACTCCTCAAATATCTCACTTGCCTTGAAAACCCTATTAGGGTCATTATGAGTCAGATGTGACCTGATGATGCTTAAGTACTTCATACTGTGCTAGCTGCATGCAAAGGCAGCTTTCAGCACAAAATAAATTGAGAGACAGAATTAGTCCTGACTTCTCAAGGGAGTGAAATCTAAGCCTGAAGGGCAGTGGCAGTGTTTTTCTTTCTTTTTTTATTATTATTTTATTTTTTTAAGGAGAGCCATTTGCAAAGGGGGAGAGGGTCAATTGGTTCTTCTTTAATGAATCAAGTGCTTGTCTATTAGGCCCGGCAACTATGACCCAATGTTGTCAGACATAAGGCCTGCTTTAACGTAACCCAAAGCACTCATTTTCTAATTAGGATTGGAAAGAACATTGGATGCTGCCTTACCAGTCCATGCAGCTCAGCATTGTGTACACTGGCTGTGTGCTGTTCTGCCACAATCCAGATAAGATTTCCATCCCCCCTTAAACTCACTTGCAGTTCCCAGGAATTGAACTTGAGATGTTCTGAAGATGAAGCACATGCTTTACCACTAAGCTACAGCCCTTCCAGGAAAACTCAAAACCCCACAGCAGCTTTATCACTCAGTTGGTGATTAAAAGTAGGTTTCTGTGCAAGTCAGATTGTCCACCTACTGTACTTCTACAATTCGCAGGATATATTCTAACAGGTTCAGCAAGCACTCCATGTGAACTGACTGTGTGTCTACAAAATGCACAGATGCGTAAAGTAACACACAGGGCCCACAAGTAAGCAGGCAAATCCAAGGACAGAAACTGAGTGAATGGGGAATCACTTCCTTATGGGAAGGAAGGGGGTCAACATCCTCCTTATACCCCCCCCCGCTCACTATTCAACAGCTCCTAGACAAAAGGATTTAAAAGGATCTGCTCTCATTTTTGGCAAACTGTTTAAAGAGGTGTGAAACGGGCAGTCCTTCTGAACTTAAAAACACCTTAAGTGTACCAATGCAGATACAGTGGGGTCTTGACTTGAGAACTTAATCCGTATTGGAAGGCGGTTCTCAAGTCAAAAAGTCTGTAAGTCAAGTCTCCATTGACCTACAGTGCATTGAAAACCGATTAATCCCATAACAGGCCGTTTTTGTTCCATTTTGGTTTTTTTCTGGTCTGTAAGTCAAATCTCAGTCTGCAAGTCAAACCTAAATTTTGCGGCCAGAGAAGTCTGTAACTCAAAAAGTCTGTAAGTCAAGCCATCTGTAAGTCAAGGGTCCACTGTAATCAGAGTAAGTCAAAACTACTGATTTCCATGAGACATATTTTTTTTCTAATGGTATATTTCAAGAGCTGGTTGGATAGCTCCATTGGCTAGGTATCTGGCTGCAGAGCTAGAAGCTGGTAGTTCAATTCCCCAGCATGCCTTCTGGGAGAAGAGATAGCCAGCCTGGGCAGCCTTGGACAAACCACACAGTCCCAGAAGAACAAATGACAAACCACTTCTGAGTACTCTCTATCAAAAAAAGCCCCGAAAAATATTGCCATAAGTCAGAACTAACTTGATGTCACACAATTATTTATTATATGTTTCAAAAGGAAAACTGTTGCTACGGTTTATATCAGAAATGAATGTCAACTTTTTAAACGGACTGAAAATTCTGTGAAAGTGTGATACTCGCCCTACAGGCACTATTGCTGAAGTTTTTAAGGTCTTTTGAGCATTGTCCCCGTTGTGGATGTTGAGGGCACTGGATGGCAAGGCAAAGCACCCTACAGTTCACCGGCAACCAAAGATTATGGACAGCAGAGTTATAACTAGCCATTTGGCTCACTGCCTTATTGGTTACACTGGGATCACATGAGAACAAGGAGTGAGTCCACCTGTTTCGGGTTTTCCTTCTGCCCAGAGAGGAGAGACAATTGTTCATAGCGGATAATTTTTTCCCCCATCTATCAGCAAATTTCCTACTGTGATGGACAAAACTCTCCCTAAAAGAGGGTGGCAAAAAAACAGCAAGTAGAAAATGAAGAATCTGAGGGTCCCAAAGAAATCTATGGGTTCTAGGGAGAAGATGAAAATGATTGATACCACAACAAATCTGAGAAGCTACGCAATGGAGCCACACAGCAAGAGTGTCACTCCTCTACGTCAGGATGGACCAATGCCTTAGGAACAGTTATCCCCAAAAAATAGTTCCCCGTATGCAAAGTTAGCTCATCAGCAAGAAAAGCTTAATGCAGTCTTTCCTTCTTCTTTTTTTCCTTGGCATGCTATCTTTCAGCATGCAGGGATTTCTCCCCCTGCCCCTTTGTCTGTGAACAATCAGGAGCACAATTCCTGTCTGAAGTTGTTCTGTCCAGAAATGTAACATCTCATGGAAGAGACAGAATCATCCCAAGCTACCAAGCTGAGGAGCACATACATACTAAGAATGTGTGTACAGTACATAACTACTGTAGGAAAGATACTGAAACAACCATCAGATTCAATGTGCTGTGACTGCCCAAGGAAGCTTTCAACCATTCTGTAAGTTTATGGAAGAGAAGGAAATCAGAAGTACTGTTAGCACTTCTCGGAAGCCATATTAACTTGGCTTTGCTTCTCCAACTGTCACCTTACAAACATTTCATCAGACTAAGGAATTTTGTAATATTAAGAACTTTTGTCTGAGTGTTTGTGTTTTCCTTTGCCCTCCCCAGCTCACTTTCCTTGTACACCGTGGATCTTTTCAGATTTAGACTTTGAGAGCAAAAGACTGTCTTGTCTTGTTAAAAATGGATTTTCAATGGCAGAATAAGGCATCAAAGCAATGACTAACAAAGTAAATCTTGCACAGCAGTATTAGGGACTCTTAGCAGTGAAAACTGCAGTCACGAATACAAACTGACTGCAGCAAACAAAGAACTGGACAGCCATGATGTAGCCTCCAAGGCCCCAAAGCAAGCACCTTCACGTCTCTCTGGGACATTGTGAATACTGCAGAATGCAGTGTATATTATGAAGCTCAAGTCACATCACACACATACATGCCCACTGATACAGAAGGAACATGCACTGGCCTCTCCAGATGGCTGTAGAGAAACTAACACAAACTGACACATTTGCCAGTATGGTGGATGCAGTGACATATGGGCCCATTTCTTTCATCCCTCCAATAAAATGTGCAGACAAATGTAACTTTGTGCACACCTCTCTCTCACTCTATTTTCCATGCGCACCTCTGCCAGCCCACTTCCACAGAGTTTGCTTCTCGTCCTGAACCTATATCTTTCTCCCCCACCCACAAGGATCTCTCCAACTACTTGGGGCAGTGAATTAAGCCTGCATCAAGTCTATTGACCTCAGCTAGAGGGGTCAGGGAGGATTACAAGGAAAGTATTTAATCAAGTTTATGGGCAGGCCTCACGTGTTAGAAGAAGTCGGCAAACCTTAAGGGGCTGGAAAGAAAAAAGTCAAGAGACTTCTTTCCCTTCTGTCCTCCATTTCCCCAACCCCAGCAATCAACTCCATCTCTCTTTTTTGGGGGGGGGGCGGGCAGAATCATCAGCTTTGCTGAACAGAAAGTAAGCGGAACGATGAGGAAGTGGCAAGAACTGGGAAGACAGAATCCTCAGCCTCCTTATGATCTCCACACCGGAGAAGTTCCCCTAAGCCTTCCTTACCTTGTGTCAAAACAGAACATCAGCAACAGAGGGGGCGAGAAGGAAGGAGGAGAAAAAACGACAAACGCCTCTGAGATGCAGATTATACTCTTAGCAACAACAAACTAGCAGTGCCATTAAACACGTTTTTGGAGAGAAATCAG